ACTTCTGACATCGTCACACGAATTATATACAAACAAGATGTACTCTTTCTTGTATTTGCCTTAACCTGCGTTTGAATCCGGTTAAATTATGCAAAAATCGATGAATTTCGTCATTTAAGGTAATGTTGCACTACTAAGGTACCGGTAATCAATACGACATGGTTTGTGCATAACTCTAGAAATATCATACGACTCATACAAGTGAATTTGATTTTGATACTGGCGTTTTCCCCCGCGATATAGAGCGCGATTTTTTATAGACTGTTGATATCAACATTTTGGTACATTAAATATGACCCCCTTAAATATGACTCCCCCTTCCATATGACGTTATTTTTTCGATCGGAAATCATGTTTTCTCATATCTTACTCACCCTAAAAGATATTCCAATAAAAATCAATTGAATCGGTTGGGGGCCGAAAATCGGCCAAATGGAGCCTGGTCCTTTAAAATAAAAAAGATTCACATGGAATCATAAACTTTGCGAGAAATATCCATCCGCTGATATTTCTTAGAAATAGATAATCTGTTATAAAGCAGCCGCGCTTAGCAGCAGCCACATTCCACGTATGGGGAGAGGGAGGGAGGTATCGCCAAAAAAACGCGCCCCCTAAGCATAGTAATAAATATCTGTTTTATCTTTTGTTTAATCTTCGCGGATTCGAAGATGAGCATACATTTCTTAGAAATAGATAACTTAGTAATAGCTTATCTTGTTTTGGGTAATAGATACCGTTATAATAGATATCTGTTTATCTTTTGTAAACATATCATGTAGTAGAGTTGATAAGCTGCCTTTATCTTGAAACTTGAGCTGATAAGATAAGCTTATCTTGTAACTTGAGCTGACCCCCTCCCCTGCGTGACGTCCTTCTCACTCCGGATTCCCCCCTTATTTGATGATTCCTTATCACTATAACTGACATAGCCAAAGTCTTCTAATGGTTGCATTCTTAATATTTCATTAACGTCCTGAACAATGTCGAGTTTTATCTCATCTTTTTTAGCGTCCAGGACATTGTTAATAAAAACTTACCTTTAAAGAAATGGCAAAAAAAAGCGCCCAGTTAACGGCATGTCAGTAACAAAAAATTACTCATTGCAAACCCATGTAGAATCCTATGAAAAATTCATCATTGCAAACCCATGTAGAATTCTATGAAAAATTAATCATTGCAAACCCATGTAGAGTTCTACCTATTGCAAATCCATGTAGAATCCTATGAAAAATTAATCATTGCAAACCCATGTAGAATTGTATGAAAAATTATCCATTGAAAAATTATCCATTGTAATTAATCATTGCAAACCCATGTAAAATCCTATGAAAAATTAATCATTGCAAACCCATGTAGAATTATATAAAAAATTATTCATTGTAAACTTATGTAGAATATCGTACTACAAAAGTAATGATATCAAAAAAAAATTGCGCCCAGTGAAAGTAGAAACTTGTACCAGTAAAAAATTAAAATTGCAAACATATATAGAGTCATATAATGAACTAGTAAAAATTTAAAGTTGTAAACCCACATGTAGAATAATATATAATTATAGAGATTTCTCTTCACGTTGGAAATATTGCAAACCCATGTAGAATCGTATATTATTTATAGACTTATGTTCTAAAATTAATATCTGTACAAAAAGTAATATCTAAAAATTGCGCAAATCAATACAAATTTAAAACAAAATTAAAATAATAAGTAGTAATTCCTTTTCTCCGCAAGAGATTAATAAAATAAATCAAATAAATTTTAACAACCCAACTGGCATAAAAAAATATCTATTGTTGGTTAGACATCAAATAAAATTAAAGACGACGTTTCAATCCTTGTTTTGAGTCCTTATCAAGTCTGACATAAATTAAATTAAAGTACAACAGTTAAAATGTATTGACGGTAAAACGTCAAGTTGACGTTCAGTTGATGTTTTACCACTTTGTCGAAAGGTGGTATTGACACAATTAATTTATATGTGCTTTAATATAGTTTAAATTCTAAAAAAGATTAAATGTTTCTTTAATTTAATTTATGTCAGACTTGATAAAGACGCAAAACAAGGGTCGAAACGTCGTTCTTAATTTTATTTGATGTCTAACCAACAATAAAGATATTTTTTATGCCAGTTGAGTCGTTAAAAATTATTTGATTTATACAAAAATTTAATTTAAAAACTTATGCAAATTTATAATTAATATAAAAAAATTAAAAAATTTTAGTTAAAAAAACTGGGCGCGCTGCTAAATAATATTCTAATAATATTAAAATTAAATTATTTGTTACTTTAAAACTTATTGCAGTTAAAATATATTTTGTAGTTAAATTAATTTATGTAACTTTAAGGTGCATTGTAATGTTGAAACTTAGCAGCGCGCCCAGTTTTTTGAACTAAAATTTTTTTATTTTTTATATTAATTATTTCGCATAAGATTTTAAATTAAATTTTTTTTAATTTGTATTTATTTGTGCAATTTTTGGACATTATTTTTTGTACAGATATTAATTTTAGAACATAAGTCTAGAAATAATATACGATTCTACATGGGTTTGCAATATTTCTAACGTAAAGAGAGATCTCTATAATTATATATTATTCTACATGTGGGTTTGCAACTTTAAATTTTTACTAGTTAGCATTATACGACTCTATATATGTTTGCAATTTTAATTTTTCACTGGTACAAGTTTCTACTTTTACTGGGCGCAATTTTTTTTTTGATATTATTACTTTTGTAGTAACATATTCTACATGGGTTTACAATGGATAATTTTTTATACAATTCTACATGGATTTGCAATGATTAATTTTTTATAGGATTCTACATGGGTTTGCAATAGATAAAATTCTACATGGATTTGCAATGATTAATTACAATGAATAATTTTTCCAAGCATAATTTTTCATACAATTCTAAATAATGTTAAGTAATGATGAATTTTTCATAGAATTCTACATGGGTTTGCAATGATGAATTTTTCATAGGATTCTACATGGGTTTGCAATGAGTAATTTTTTGTTATTGGCCTGCCGTTAACTGGGCGCCTTTTTTATCTTTTTTTAAAGGTAAGTTTTTAGATATTATATCACACATTCATTTTGATAAACATCTAAATAAATAACCAAAGAACCCCCCACCATCCCTGTCATATTTCAAATCAAAATACGACGGTCCTCTTTGCTTACTATAAATAAAAATAACTATCTTGTACAACTATTTTTATTAAAAATATTTTTAAAAATCTTAAGATTTTACATGAGTTTGCAATGGGTAATTTTTGTTACTGGCATGCCGTTAATTGGACGCCGTTTTTACCTTTTTTAAAGGTAAGTTTTTGAGATTATATCATTCATTTTTGTATATGATATACATTTTTAGATAAATAAGCAAAGAACCCGCCACCACTCCCGTCATATTTCAAAATACGACGGTCCTCTTTGCTTACTATAGATAAAAATAACTATCTTGTGTACAACTATTTTTATTAAAAATATTTTTAATTTATTAGTTCGTCGGCTTTTTTAATCATAATAGACATATCCTCCATAGACATAATAAAAGTGAGAAGTTGCGTCTAAAAAACAAATTTGAATATATCAGTCGAAAGTATTATGGAGTTCAGAATCTATTGAGAAGAATAGATTATAGTAAATGGATTGTGAATATCAGTAATTGTCACGTTCCTGATTCATTGATGAATTTTTTAAGTTTAGGTGATAAGTTTGGTGTGCCTATATGTAGAAATGATAAAAACGATAAGAAAATCTCCGCATTGGAAAATATAAACAATTTTGAAGTCAATCATCAAAAGTTTCTCAAGGATAACCTTGATAATGTGAGATTGTCAATAGCGTGCTCGGTACACAAGTTTTTGAGTAGACAAAACATGTGTGTTACATGGATAGATACATTTTTAATAGGTATTCTGAATGCTCAAAATTTTTGAAATTAAACAAAAATATTTTGGTAACAAAAGCAGATAAAGGCCAGGTTACGGTGTTGATGAGTCGGACAGACTATGTGGAGAAAATGAATAATTTATTGAAAGACGTTTCCACTTATAAATTACTTAATAAGACTCCACTAAATGCACTGAACGCAAGAATTACTTTTTTGTTAAAATATTGGTTAGACAATAAACTCCCCGTATCTCTGACATCATTATCACATCTCACTCCTCCAATCCTTTCCAAAACTTTGTACGCGAGCCTTCGTATTTTTTTCTTTCTCGCGACCGAACAAAAGATATTTATTTGTTAACTGCCGATTTGTTGGGAAAGGAGACTTAGAAACTGGATGATTAATTTGAGACTAAGAAGTCCGATGTACACTTGGGTTCTTTATTTTAAGTTTCACTCGCACGACTTATCTCGGCGGGCTCTCCGAGCTTACTTCTCGCATAGGAGGTCCCGCGACGATCACGGTCGCGGGATCACGCTTCCTTTGGAATTTGGCGCGTGACACGCGCGTGTCGAATCGCTATTCGCGGTCGTATCGCCAATCGATACTCCCGATTTTAAAATAAGGTGACACGCAGGACGGAACTTGAGTCCGCCTTATTCGGTGCGAAAACAAAAATATGTTCTGACCTTCGAGATCGTTCCTAAATTCTCAAACATACCGCCCGCCTCGCAGGCGAACGAATGCGAAAGAGGTGTGACATGACCTACTACAATTTTCAAAATAATTACTAGAGTATAGAATTCCGAAACAAATCTCGAAAGTCGAAAACATCTTAACGATTGTGGAAGCGCAAATACTCGACCAAAAACATCGCAAAAAAACAGTCTTGTAAGGCTGACAAGATTTATAACTCTGAGTGACAATTTGAATGCCCGAAAGTAAAGTTAATACTTGAATAATAGACACGCTCGCTTTGATCTCGGTCGAATAGCAAGGTTATAACGGGCTAAGAGCGTAAACAATTTCGAATAATGTGACCTTTGAGTAACGTGAGTCATTCAAAGAGTATAAGAATTTCTTAACTTTAAACTTAATCTAATTACAATTTGTTGATTGAACAATGGTTTTATCATTATTTTCACAAGTAACTGGAAGACGGCATAGTTGCGTGATTGGTCGCTTGAAAGAGGAATGTGCGGTGCGAACTGTCACGACTCGAACGAGTCCGTCGGATCCCGGATGGATCAGCGCGACTCGAGCGAGTTCCCACTTGCTCGGAGGGAGCAGGGAATTTTTCAGTAATACAAGTTCTCCGACGCGAAAGTCTGAAGACTTATTCGTCCATTTACCTCGTTGTTGCAACGAATGCAAATAATCAAGCGACCATGCACGCCACACTCGTTCGCTCATCGCGTTGACGAGTTGCCATCGAGACAATCGGTTTTTGTTTATCGCAAGTACAGACTCCTCCGGTACGGCGGTCATCGGTCGACCTATAAGAAAATGACCAGGAGTAAGCGCTAGCAAATCGCTTGGATCGTCACTTAAGGTTGCAATGGGGCGCGAATTGAGACACGCCTCAATTCGGCAAAGCAGTGTTGAAAATTCGGCTTGAGATAAGGTATGCGAACCCACTGTCCTTTTCAAGTGAGTCTTGAAGCTCTTTACGCCGGCCTCCCACAATCCTCCGAAGTGAGGAGTTGCGGACGGAATGAAGTGCCACTCCACTCTATCGTTAGCGAGGACGTCTCGCAATGAGGGATCGGAACTTACTGCGTCAAACGTGCTCTTTAGCTCCCGGTCCGCTCCGTGGAAATTTGTTCCGTTATCGCTATACAGTTTTTGAGGCAAGCCTCTTCGACTCGCGAATCTCCTAAAGGCCGCCAAAAAACCCGCCGCGGAATAGTCTTCGACTAATTCGATATGAATACCTTTTGTCGCGAGACAGATGAACAAAGCAATGTAATGTTTTCGAGTCTTCTGTCCGCGACTGACGAACGGGGTAAGGAAAAACGGAGCAGCGTAATCGACTCCCGTATGAGTAAACGGGGACGATGGATTAACTCGGGGAGAAGGGAGATCTCCCATGAGTTGGCTGGATTGTCTCTTCGCGTAACGAGCGCAAACTATGCATTGCCGAATGCGAAATTTTACCGTACTTCGACCGCCGAGTAGCCAATAGTTTTGACGGAGCGTTCGGAGGACAAGTTGAACTCCTCCGTGGAGCAAGATCCGATGCGCATGATCGATTAACAGCTCGGCTATTCTGCCCCGGGGAATGATAATCGGATGTCGTTCCTCGTAGGAGAGAGCGGAATTTCGTAACCGCCTGCCGAGACGAAGTAAAGAATCCTTTCCGACGAAAGGATTTAGCGATTTCAACGAGCTTTTGTGAGGGAGCGTTTCGTCTTTCCGTAAGGTCTTGAACTCGAGTTCGAACGATCTTTTCTGCGCATAAGCGAGCCAGAAAGTCTCTGCTCGACGGAGCTCGTCTACTCCAAGATACAATACAGTGGTATTTTCACGATTCGTTTTCTTACGAGAACGAAGGAAAAATCGGTAGATGTAAGCTGTCACTCGGACAAGTCTAGTCCAACAGCCGAATTGATAGGGAAGGTTGTAGCGACTTATAAATAAATTCACCAGATCTTTGAAAAAGTAATGTTTATTCATTGAAAGTATAAAGCGAAAGAACAAAAAGAATTAATATGTAACAAATAAATAAATGAATGTGTTGTTATGGAAATATTGATTTTTCTTAAAAACATTATGTATATTAATGAATTGAAGTTATTACAAATGTATAAAGATGTAAAAAGTGTAAAAGTGCAGTGAAAAGTGTAAGGTGTAATAAAAGTGTAGAGTGTAAATGAAAGGTGTGGATGATGAATGCTACAGTACTCCCCCCCAAGTGACGATATTCGTTGCGAAATGGACTTTCTTCTTCTTTGGTGGGTAGGTGCGTAAAGCTTTTCCAACAGTAGAAGAAGAAGAAGGATTTGAAGTAGCAGAAACAGGAGCTGAAGTAGCAGGAACAGGAGCTGAAGTAGCAGGAACAGGAGTTGAAATAGCAGGAACAGGAGTTGAAATAGCAGGAACAGGAGCTGAAGATCTGGTAGAAAGTTCAGTAGAATCTGAAGTTCTAGGAATGAAGGCTGGCTTGAGACGTTCTGTCGAAATATTGACAACTCTTCCTGAAACATTAACTGCAAATAAATGATCAGAGATACGTTTCTCAATAGGAAAAGGGCCAGAATAAGGAGGTTGTAGTGACTTCCTAACAGTATCTTCTCGAATCCAAACATGAGTACAATCAAAAAGATTCTTGTGAACAAAAGGTGATCTTTTGCAATGATGACTTGTAGGAGATGATCTGATATTCCTCATATGAATCCTGTGTTTTTCAAGAAAGATTTCAGGATCTGCAGGAAAATCTTCTTCAATGAAAAATTCTCCAGGAATACGAAGAGTGGATCCATAAAGAAGTTCTGCAGGTGAAGCTTTTAAATCTTCTTTGAAACACGAACGTAATCCCAAAAGAACTGAAGGTAAAGATTCTACCCAGTTGGTTGTTTCGTGGCACATAATCGCTGCTTTCAAAGTCCTATGCCATCTTTCCAGAATTCCATTTGAAGCAGGATGATAAGCAGAAGTTCTAATCCTTTGGCATCCAATTAGGTTTGTTAAAGCTTTGAATAAAGCTGCTTCAAACTGAGGACCTTGATCTGTTGTAATGCTGATAGGAGAACCAAAACGTGCTACCCAATGTGAATAAAATGTTGTAGAAATAGTTTCAGCAGAAATCTCAGAAATAGGAACAGCTTCAGGCCATCTGGAAAAACGATCAATCATAGTAAGACAATAACGGTAATTTTGACAAATAGGAAGTGGTCCAACAATGTCTAAATGCACATGCTGAAAGCGTTGATCAGGAATTGCAATCTTAATTGGAGAATTCTTGGTGTGTCTTGAAATCTTCGCACGTTGACATGGAAGACAAGTTCGAGTCCATTCCTTCACATCTTTCTTCAAAGAAGGCCAAATGAATTTCAGTAGTAATTGTTTAGATGTCAATCTGCCGCTGGGGTGAGCGAGTCCATGAACAACATCAAAAATTCTCTTGCGTAAGAGTTTAGGAACATATGGACGAATTAATTCCGAAGAGCAATCACAATAAATAGGTATGGTTGATCCTGAAAGAATAAGTTTCTTCAACAGAAGTGAAGAATTTGAAGAAAGTAAAACTTGAAGTTCTTCATCTTCTTTCTGATAATTAGCAAGTTCTTCTAAAGAAACTATAATAGGCATTGAAATAGATTCAATTCTTGACAGAGCATCAGCAACTGAATTCATTTTTCCAGAAATATAGGTAATATTTGTAGAGAATTGAGCAATAAAGTCCAATTGTCTGATCTGTCTTGGTGACGCTTTATCCAATTTCTGACGGAAAGCAAAAATCAAAGGTTTATGATCAGTTCTGATAATCAATTGTCTTCCTTCAACAAAATGCCTGAAATGTTTAATAGCCAAATAAATGCTAAGAAGTTCTCTATCATAAGTGCTATAATTTCTTTGAGCTTTGTCTAGTTTCTTTGAGAAAAATGCTATTGGTTTGATATCGTCGTCAATAGACTGTTCAAGTGATGCACCAACAGCAAAGTCAGAAGCATCACAAGTTAAAATAAGAGGAGCATGAGGAGCAGGATGAGAAAGGGTAGTAACTTGTAAAAGTTCTTCTTTACATGACTCGAAAGCTAATTCCGCTTCTTTAGTCCAAGAAATAATTCTTCTATCCCTCTTGCGACTGTCCTTTAAATATTCTGTTAACAGAGCTTGATGATTTGCAGCATCCTTGAGACAGCGACGATAATAATTGATAATTCCTAAGAATCTGCGTAATTCATGAAGTGTCTTAGGTTTAGGATAATCAATAATTGATTTCACTTTTTCGGATGTAGGTTTAACTCCTTGGTTAGAAACTAAGTAACCAAGAAAAGAAATCTCGCTTTGACCGAAAAGACATTTAGCGACATTGATTGTCATTCCAGCTTGTTGAAGACGATCAAAAATAATGCGTAAGTGAGCAATATGTTCTTTCTCATCTTTAGAAGCAATAAGAATGTCATCAAGATAACAAAAGGCAAAACTCAAATCATTAAGTAAAGAGTTCATGAGCCGTTGAAAAGTTTGGGCTGCGTTTCGTAAACCGAAAGGCATTACGACAAATTCAAAAAGCCCAAATGGAGTAGTGACAGCTGTTTTGTGAATATCTTCTTTAGCGACGGGTACTTGATAGTACGCTTTAACTAAGTCGATTTTAGAAAAGATATTCTTACCAAAAAGTGAAGAAGAAAAATCTTGAATATGAGGTAAGGGATAACGATCCGGGATAGTCACTGAATTGAGTGCACGATAATCACCACACAGTCTCCAAGAATTTTGTTCCTTTTTAGGTACCATATGTAGAGGGGCTGCCCAGGAGCTGCTTGAAGGCCTGCAAATTCCTTGCTCCATCATAGACTTGAATTCTTCCTTGGCACATTTAAGTTTCTCAGGAGTAAGTCTTCTGGGAGTCGAAAATTTAGGAGAACCTTCCGTAACGATATGATGTTCAACACCATGTGTTTTTACCGAGGAAATTGGAGAAAAACGGGTGAGTCCTGGAAATTCGGTTAAAAATTTGTGGTACACAGAATCAGGAGATGTGGTAAAAATTGACAAATGTGCAACTTCTTGAATTTTTCCAGTATTCATAAGACCGGTAACATTATCAATCAATTTCTTGTTTTTAATGTCAATTAGGAGATTAAAATGACAAAGGAAATCGGCGCCTAAAATAGGACGTTGAATATCCGCGACACAAAATTTCCATTTGAATTCTCTCCTTAAACCGAGGTTCAAAATTAAAGTTTTAGAACCGTAAGTATTAATTTGAGTACCATTTGCGGCAAAAAGTTTTAAATTAGTATGCCACGGCTTCAATAAAACCTTTTTAGGTAACAACGATATATCAGCGCCCGTATCGACAAGAAAATTCAAATTTGAATGTCTGTCGAAAATAATGAGGCGATTGTTAGAAACACCGTCGTAAGCAGCCTCAGTCTTAAGCGGCGTTTTTAGTTTTCCTGTGAAGCCAAGAATGTTTTGGACATAGAACAAGGTAAAGTACATCGTTTAGCCTTATCACCAAACTTCTTATGGTAAAAACAAATTGATGTATCTTTAATATCTTTATTTGATTTGTCTTTGTTACGCGATAACGATCTAAATCTTCTATTCTCTCTAGACCGGCTTTTGGAACGATCTCGACGACGAGAAACTTCAAGAGCTTCGATTCTTCGTAGCAAATCCGCGAAATCCGAAGATTTATTACTTGTATTATTGGAAACTTCCGCGACTTGCAAACCGCCGTCCCGATCAGCAATTTTATCGGCTAATTCCGCAAGTTTAACAAGAGGAACATCCTCTACTACGGCTAAAGTCGTTTGAATTCTATGTGGTAAGCGTTGAAGCCAAATCATTTGCAAAACACTATCTGCTAAAGATCCTCCAGACAAATGACGAATTTCTCGAAGTAATTCCGAAGGCTTTTTATCATTAAGTTCAATTCCAGCTAATATTTGTCTCAAACGTTTTTCCTCTGAATCCGTAAAGCGATTTATTAATATTTTCTTTAAATAATTATATTTATCTGTTTCAGGTGGATTTTCAATGACTTCAGATATGTTTACTAAGGCTTGTTCATCAAGATGACGAATGACAGAACTATATTTAATATCATCTGATCGAATTCGATAAACCGTAAACTCACTTTCAATAGAAGCAAACCAGAGTTTAGGTTGTTTATGCCAGAAAGTCGGTAGTTTTAATAAACGAAACTCATTTGAGTGAATTTGTAACATAGGATCACTCACCTGATGTCCAGTTTGAGAAGGTAAAATATTAATATTTTCTGATCCAACCTGATTTGATCCGCTCGCCAAATCCATATCAATCTGTGTATCCGAACAGGGTCTAACTGGTGATCTATCGATTGGCATTTTCCTCTTGTTCCAGGAATCCGATAAAATGATTTGAGAATTTCCGTGAAGGACTAATCCGCCTCTGATGTTTCAAAGATCCGGAGAATGAATCTCTTAAAATCAGAATATCCAGCAATTCTTCCAAGCGATGATAATATTTCGCAGACTTCAAATACGACGATCACTTGGCACTTATTCCGCATCAGCCTTTAAAATGCGTCGGCTTTAATATCACGTCGGCTTTAATATCACGTCGGCTTTAATATCACGTCGGGGTCACCAAAAATGTAGCGACTTATAAATAAATTCACCAGATCTTTGAAAAAGTAATGTTTATTCATTGAAAGTATAAAGCGAAAGAACAAAAAGAATTAATATGTAACAAATAAATGAATGAATGTGTTGTTATGGAAATATTGATTTTTCTTAAAAACATTATGTATATTAATGAATTGAAGTTATTACAAATGTATAAAGATGTAAAAAGTGTAAAAGTGCAGTGAAAAGTGTAAGGTGTAATAAAAGTGTAGAGTGTAAATGAAAGGTGTGGATGATGAATGCTACAAGGTCCCATTCCGGAGCGCCCTCTACATGCAGAACCGCGGATTTTCGACTTTCGGCATGTACTTGTTTCACTAGCTCTTCTGAGAGTGAAGTAGCGACGTTATGTAGAGGCCAAGAGGTAGAAGGCTGTTGAAGCCAAGGCGGGCCCGCCCACCATAACGAATGCTCAACTATGTCGGACGCATTGAATCCTCTGGACGCGCAGTCCGCGGGATTTTCTTTGGACGGCACGTGACTCCACTTAGCAGATGGCAGGTTGCACTGTACTTCCGATACCCTGTTGGCCACGTACGTGGTCCATTTTGATGGGTGTTGACGCAGCCACGCCAGCGTAATAGTGGAGTCCGTCCAACAATGAATCGAAGTATTTGATAAGTTTAATGAATTTATCAACCACTTTACTAATCGACTTAATAAAACTACCGCATTGAGTTCGAGTCGAGAAATGCTAAGTGTCTTAACTGGAGCGACCTTTGACTTTGCGGCGATCAAATTTACTCGATACTCTGAAAGGGAATGAAACACGCGCATATACACAACGGCGGCATAAGCGCGATTCGAGGCGTCCGCGAATCCGTGAAGTTCTAACGTAAGATTATCCGGGCTTTGACCGGTCCATCGAGAATACGTATCGACTCCAAACGTGAAAGGTCGGAGGCGAAAATAGTCCATCGTTGACTCAACTCGTTTGGAAGTGGGGTGTCCCAATCGTAACGTAGTAGCCACAATTCTTGCAGAATTATCTTGGCAGTTATCACAACCGGGACAGCCGAGAGGGTCGTATAGTTTAACAATGCACGATAGTATAGAACGTTTTGTCAACACGATCGGAAGATCAAACTTCACTGTGAATTGAAATGAGTCTTCCGACGGAAGCCACGATAAACCAAGAATCCTTAACAATTCGTCCTTCAGTACAAGGTGATCAGTAACTTCCGACTGATCGTTTGTAACGTTATCAAGAAGTTCGTCACAATTGGAAGCCCATTTTTGTAGCAAAAAACCTCCGCGTTTCATAAGTTCTACGAGTTGAGTGCGCGTATCGAGTAACGAATCAAAGTTGTCGGCACCGAACAACGCGTCATCCACATAGATTGAATCATTAATGATAGGAACCGCAGCAGGAAAGTCAGCACCCTCGTCAAGAGCTAATTGTCGAAGCACTCGCATCGACAGATACGGTGCTGAAGCTAAACCGTATGTAACGGTGAGCAGTCGAAAGTGGGTAATTGGCGCGTCATCCGCAGGGCGCCAAAGTATCCTTTGAAAGTCGACGTCCTTCGAATGCACGCGTATCTGGCGAAACATTTTTGCGATGTCTGCCGTATAGACTAGGCGCCATTTACGCCAACGCGTTAATACAGCAGGAAGGTCCTGTTGTAGTTTCGGCCCGACAAGTAAATGGTCGTTGAGAGACGTCCCATTTCAAATCTTACAAGACGCGTTAAAGACAATGCGAAGCTTCGTGGTGCAGCTCACCGGATGATGGGGAATGTAGACTGGCAAGGTCTCCGTAATTTCAGCCTCGTCCACGCGCGTCATATGGCCGAGTGATTCGTATTCTAACAAGAAGTCGCGGTATTGCGAACTGAGATCGGAATCTTTGTCTAGTCGATTCTCCATGCGACGATACAACGCTCTCGCGATGGATAGAGATTCCCCGATATCGAACGGCGGATCTCTCTTGAAAGGCAATCTCACTACGTAGCGGCCATCAGAATCCCGGCTGTGTGTTTCGATGAAGTGAGATCCGCATTGCTCCTCCTCATTCGTGGGGGAGGCCGGCGCAGAGATCTCTTCATCCTCCCAAAATCTTTGGAGGAGAAAGTCCACCTGTTCAGCGAGAACGCAATTTAGAAAAGCAGCCTCACTGAGGGCTGATTCTTTCGATCCGGTCGGTCCGGAAATCACCCAGCCGAACGCGGTCAATTGAGCAGTGGGAATTCCGGGCGGACCCTTTCTCAGGTCACGCATCAGTAACGAACCGTACACGTCCGCGCCGATTAACATATAGATCTGGTGTCTGCTTGACGGATCCGGATCCGCTAACGAAAGGCCTTGCAGGTGAGGCCACGAATTGACCGGCTGAATACGCGTTGCGGCGTATGACGTAATGCAATGGAAAACGTAAGCGGTAACGGGGAAAACCGGGTTCGACTTATCGCACGGTGTCAATTTCAACGAAACTCGCGATCGCGCCGAGCCGGTATATTTTTCGCCGAAGCCCTTGATTTGTAGATCGGTCCTCTGTCGTCTAGTGCGAATCGTTTGACATAACGTCTCGGAGATAAAACTAACATTAGATCCTTGATCTAACAAGGCTCGAACCTTGAAGCATCTGCCTTCGGACGTATGGACGTTAACCCACGCGGTCGCTAGGAGGACCGCGGGCGTCGCGTTATTCGGAGGCCTAACCGATTGCACGCTGGCGACGGCAGCGTCGCCGACAACACTAATCTTGTTCGCACAGGGAGTCGCGTTAGCTTTTGATTTAGATGAATCGGAATTTTCACCGACATTTGACGTTTGAACATTCTCTTGATGCAACAGCGTGTTGTGAGAACGTTTGCAGTGAGCGCATCGAATTTTACTCGGACACTGTCTCGTGAAATGTCCCGCTCGCAGACAATTAAAACAAACTTTGTTTTGTCGCGCAATGATACTTCTCTGCGGTACGTCTTTCCCACGAAATTCCTCACACCTCGTGATAGCATGATTGCCCGAACAACAAATGCATTTAACGACGGTAACGTTATGAACTGAAGAACGCTGTTTGTCATTCTTAGAACTTATAGTCTTTGAATAATCGGAGAAGTCAGACAGACCACGTATGCGGAGTGTGAAAAACTCGTGGATATCTTTGTACGCCGGAAGATCTCGACTCGATGAAACTTTCAGGTTCCATTCGCTCTTCGTTCTTGCACTGAATTTTGATATGATATATATGAGAATATCATCCCACTCGCTCACCGGCCGATTTAAATTAGTAAGTGCCGCAAGCGACGCGGACACCGTGTCTCGCAATGTTCGTAGTTCCGCGACGTTTTCGGATTTTATTGTCGGCAGACACATGAAGGCGTGAATGTGAGTATGGATAAGAGTCAATTTATCGTCATACTCATCAATGATCAGTTGCCAAGCGGACTCGTAATTTGCGTCGGAAATTTTCAAGTTACTTATTATTAAAGCGGCGTCCCCGATGACGCTTGTCTTAAGATAATGAAACTTTTGGGTATTTGTAAGAGAATCATTATTCGCGACTAGAGACTCGTACGTGTTTTTGAAACTTTCCCATTCCGAAAAGTTGCCCGAAAATTTTGGCAGGGATATCCGCGGCAACTGAAAATTGTTATGGTAACTCTCGCGTACGGAGGAGTCGGTACTACGATCGAACGAAGAAGGCTGATTTGTAGTAAATCTACTTATCGTTTCTCTAAGAAGGTCTGCCGTGTCGTTGTAGTAGTCCTCGGCGACTATAAACTCCCCGTTCTGGAAGTAAGGTAGTGTCTTCTGTTCATCCGATGTCGCAGTCTGCAGCAGCTGGACTTGATGCTCTCGGCAGGAGGCCCAAATCATCTCCAAGGTAGCGAGGCGCCCTTGCGTCTTAGCCAATGTCACATTGACTTTTGCCAATTTCTTAAAATTGACGAGGACTCTTTTCAACGAGTCGATGTTCTCCGTTTGCGCGATGAGTAAATTTCTCAATTCACTCATGATCACAATGCGGGTTTTTTTTTTCCAAATGACTCGGACACTCGCAATTTATGCGAAGAGACGAACTTTATTTAGCTTGTGACAATATTCGCCACAGAACGAGCGAAACGCCAACCTGCTTCGCCGTCGGAACTTTACACGAGCACCATTATTTGTGTAGAGTAGCCGAGACAATGCTAATTCCCACTCACTGGAGTACCGGGCGCGTAACCACGGCGCCGTCGGACCGACGGAGCGCGACGTACGATTAATCGCGTAATACACGAGAGACCAGGCGTTTGATTACCTCGCCGGAGGTCAAGATGTCGTGAGTGACTGTATTTCGAAACACACAAAATTTTCACCGAGATTACACAATGTTCTGCAGCATGACAATTTTGCCGACGGTAGTTTTCTCGCGGACGGCTGCCTGCCAAAGCGTGATAGAAATTGTCTCGGAATGAACCGCACAATGTATGCCGGGCGCGTGAGAGCGGCGCCGACGGCCAGCAGATCGTGATCGACCCTGTCGAAGCACGACGACTAGATGGAGAACTCACGGTGTAGGTCGGGGAGCTCAGCGGCTTCGCCTGGCGACAACCCTTTCGCGAACGATCACTTATCGAAGCGCGAACTTCTCCTTTAAATCGCGTTTCCAATCACGACGCGTGATTACTGTTCGACGAAACGTAACTCGCGACGACCTTTGTCGCTTCGCGAATTATATTAGAAGAGAACACGCGTGGATGCCGGGAGCTTGGCGGCTTCGCCTGGCGGCAGCCCTCCACGAACGATCACTTATCGGTACGTGGATGTCTCTATTAAACGAAATAACTCCGTGACGCTATATTCCTGCGTCGACGGCAGTCTTCGCGGAAGACTAGTTTGTCTCGCGAAACACAATGCACTTTTCCTCACCCACTACGGGAGAGCAACACTCCACTAGAAACTCAAGCGGAGAGCGAGAAAACCCAGAGAGTGAATCTGAGAGATTTCGAATTCAACCTGTCCCTTTTCTCACAATCTCGCAAAATCCGGCTCGAAGGACCATTCAATTCTGTACGCGAGCCTTTGTATTTTTTTCTTTCTCGCGACCGAACGAAAGATATTTATTTGTTAACTGCCGATTCGTTGGGAAAGGAGACTTAGAAACTGGATGATTAATTTGAGACTGAGAAGTCCGATGTACACTTGGGTTCTTTATTTTAAGTTTCACTTGCACGACTTATCTCGGCGGGCTCTCCGAGCTTACTTCTCGCATAGGAGGTCCCGCGACGATCACGGTCGCGGGATCACGCTTCCTTTGAATTTGGCGCGTGACACGCGCGTGTCGAATCGCTATTCGCGGTCGTATCGCCAATCGATACTCCCGATTTAAAATAAGGTGACACGCAGGACGGAACTTGAGTCCGCCTTATTCGGTGCGAAAACAAAAATATGTTCTGACCTTCGAGATCGTTCCTAAATTCTCAAACAACTTCTTATCCTTGTTCTCTAGCCCTGCTGCATTCCAAAAAGTCGCTTTTCATCCCTCTATTTCTTCTCTCTCTCTCTTTACCCTCTCTTCTTCTATTTCGTGTTTCCTTCATCCTTTTCTTTTCTTTCCCTACCTCCTCTTTTCTTATATTTCCTCTCTCGTCTTTCAGTGTTTCCTTCTTCTCATCCCATCTTCACCATTTTTCTCTATTCTTCTCCTGCCCATTTCTTATCCATGTCTTTTCTCCTCTTTGCTATCTCTCCTAGTTTCCTTCTCATTTCCTTTCTCTCCACGTTAGATCCGTATTGATCCTCTCTTTTTTTATCTCTTAACTTTTTTTTCTTCTCCATCACCTCCCATTTTTGCTCCTCTTTCTCCAGCTCTTCACCATCTCGCTTTCTTTCTCCCTACCCTCTCCTATCTTCCTTATTTTCATTATCTTTACCTTTGCTTCTATCTCTGCCATCAATTTCTCAGCCCTTTCTCTTCTTATTCCTTCTTTTACTTCCAATTCTTTTATGACTATATTCTTTTTCTTTCTTCTTTTTCCATTATCTTCCATTTCCTTTCCATCTCTCGTACCCTCTTCTTCATATCTTTCCTATAGGGCCCCCTTCTCTTCTTTCCCTCCTTCTTTCTTCCATCTTCTTTCCCAGCACGTCCACTCTCTTCCTCAACCCCTCTATGTTCTCTCTTAGCTGCCTCTTCTCCTCTCTCCATCTCTTTATCTGCTCTCTGTAATCTCTTTTAGTTCTTCATCTTCCCCTTATTCTCTCTGCTTGCTCTTTTATCTCCTCCTTAACTTCCCATCATCTCTGTCACTTCCTGCCTCATATCTCTAATCATTTTCTTTATCTCTTTCTTCTCTCCCTATCTGTTTAAGTCACAACTCGAGAAGCAATAAACATATCAGCGTATTGGTGTAGATGATCGTTGCACATAAATGAGTGACGATAGACGCGCGTTAGTCTAATAAACAATTCAATTATTAATGACAAAAAGTTAATTATAATAATTTTAAACAATAGACAAGTATTACTTCGAGAACATTCTGGAACATTCGAATTGTTATAATTAGTCGACCTTTCGTATCATTATTTGTTCACGTGATAGCGACACGTTACTGTGTGTTTGAATCTATTGTTTACTCTGGAATTTTGGTGGAACAAGGACACAGTGAAGTTATTAAATACAATCAAACCAATACATAAGTATCGAAATCTGCGCAAATAACGGAGACATCTAAAAGAAAATTAACGAATATCAAAAATTTTATCAATAAAGTCCAAAAGGGGGTACTACTATGTATGCGTAGACGATAATGACGGCGATTTGAAAAGAAATTTTTATATTTAAATATTGATATCTCTACTTACAAATCACGTAGAGCAAAAATAAACATTTTCATAATATAATTCCAACTCAATCTATCGATTAAGTCTAGTATAAACTCGATTGCTTCAGCCGTTATTAAGCATTCGAAATTTATAGTACTCAATCGTCCGACTCGCGTTAAAATACACGGTGTGTCTTGTTCGGCTATGACGTTAAATGAGCGCGAGACTCTACCATGCCTCTTGATTAACTGTAAAGCAATTAATGATAGAGCAGCTGTATGGCGTTTCTTCAAACCCATTTCTCGTCCATGTAGCTCCTGGACGATTGAACTTACTTGATTATTGCTCGAAAACGCGGGAACACTTGTATCTACGCTTAAGCACCGTTTGCGTAGAAATTTTCTTATTCTTTTAAGTCTCGCAATTCGAGCTTTCCGCGATTGCAAATGTCTCATTAAATGGTTTGTCGGGTTTTCTGTCCATCCAAAAAATGCCATTGCTTGTGGTAAGCATTGTCCTAACAATTCGATACATTCATCACACTGCTTCTCCCAATTAGTATAGGAAACTTTATCGAATTCATTTGGATGCTTTCTTTCCAATAAAATTGTTCCTTGTATCGCAGCATCATTTAACAAAATTCTTCTATTGATTCAATATATTGAATCAGACACGGCCACTGTTGCAAATATCCAAAATGTTCGCCCACGGTGACTTGGCGGGAACGTTCCAACAGGTAGCGCTCAATATACTCTGCGTTTTTCATGTTTCACACTTTTATTATAATCACTGTATTATACTTGCTAACCTTTTTCTCATTCGACCGACTTATGCACTCTCATGGTCACCGTACTATGGTTTGACCTGGCAGCAGCAGCAGTCCTTATTATATATCCCGTTCAACCCCTTTATTCAACGTATGATGATGCAATTTTTTCTACGTTAAAAAATTGCGAGAAAATCCCCGCTAATATTTATTAGAAATAGATAACGTATCTGATTATGCAGTAGCCGCGCTCAGCAGCAGTAGCAGCTAAATATCGTTTTGTTTACACCCCCGCGAAGACATGTCTCTACGCGTTTGCTTCCTTTGTTCAGCAAAATTTTTTCTTAAAATCAGCATGTAACCGATATTGTTGTAATAGATATTTGTTTTATCTTTTGTCTTATCTTCTCCGTAAGACATGTCTCGACGCGTTCACCCACTTTGTTCCACGTGCGATGATGAAATCTTTTTACGTAAAAAGCGATAAATATCCCTCCGCTGATATTTCTTAGAAATAGATATATCTGTTATAAAGCAATCGCGCTTAGCAGCAGCCACATTCTACGTTTGGAGGGCAGGTACTGCCAAAGAAACGCGCCCCCTAAACGTAATAATAAATATCTGTTTTATCTTTTGTTAATCTTCGGGGATCTAAAGATCTTGCGTATATTTCTTAGAAATAGATACCTTAGGAATAGCTTATCTTATCTTGGATAATAGATATCATTGTAATAGATATCTGTTTATCTTTTGTTTATAAACATATTATGTAACATGAGCTGATAAGCTTTCTTTATCTTGAAATTTGAGCTGATAAGCTTATCTTGTAACTTGAGCTGATAAGATTTTTTCTCCTACGTGACATATCCCCCTCGCCGCCGATTCCCTCGCCTTTTACCCCCCCCTCCATTGCTCCTGGATTAGAACTCGCCTAGTATATCTAATTACACACACTCGCGAATCTAAATTTGTAGTTAAAATTCTGCAGTGTCTATCATTTGCATATTTGATGATTCCTCATCACTATCACTGACATAGCCAAAGTCTTCTAATGGTTGCATTCTTAATCTTTATTTACATTAACGTCCTGAACAATGTCGAGCTCCATCTCATCTTCTATAGCGTCCAGGACATTGTTAACCTCAATGTCATAATCTGGATTGTACATATCATCATCTGAGCATCCTGGACATTATTCTGCTCCATCTCGTCATCTGAAGTGTCAATTGTAACAATTTCTTTCCATTTCTTTTGAAACACACTTCGGATACGTGAAAGTAGTCATTATTTTTTTTATAGACCGGTCTATGCGTTCTCAATCACGGACAGCAGTTCTCAAATATTCCGTCCAATACTTTGTACCTTTCATGTTTAACATATGATTGAAATTATCTCAGAAAAATATATCCTTCATTGCATTATCGGTTATAAAACAGCCGCT